TATTGAAAGGGAGTCTAACTATATGGGGTTGATGTTGTTCGCAGGGAAATTAATTTAGGTTGAAGTGGCCAGAAAAATGTCTGATATCAAATGTAAGGAGAAAGTAAAAGGATAGGGAGGATCCAACTATATCAGGTTCTGGAAAAGAGAATTCTAAGCAGAGGGACACATACACAAATATTGTAAGGCACATAAGATTTATAGATTTAAGAAAGTACAAGAGGATTCCAATGTGACCAGAGCATGTGGAAAGAATAATGGAACATAAGGAAGTTAGAATGGTAGTTATAGACCAATTCTTAGCAGTTAAATGGGCCCAGTCCCCCTTAGCTTGCCTTGTACTCCTATTTATCACTCCCTTCACTTACCTTCACATTACTTGTGGTCAGAAATATTTTAATAAGAAAAAACATGGGAATTAAGAGAGAAGGAAGTATGATTCTCTCAGAAATTGTAAGGTGGGTCTACTCTAGTCATATAGTTTGGGCTGCCAGCTGTGGTAGCATGTACTGCTAAGATGCTGTGCTCTACAGGCCGGGACCACTTGAAAGGTCCGCAAGTTAGACCACAGACCACAGTTACTCAGATACCTCCTTGGTCCACATTTTTTTACTATGTCAAAGCTAAAAAGGGCCTAACAACACCCAATGATGATGATGATGATAACTACCAAAATAAAAGCTAGCATGTATTGAATACCTCTGATAAACCAAGAGTTTCAGAGGCATTATCTCTTTGAATTCACATAACAGCTTTGTGAAGTAAAGTAATTCTAGTATTTCCATTTTACACATAAGAGATTTAAAAATCAAGAAGGCTTGGGACCAGCAATTAACGTAATGTAGTCGACTGCGGTTCGAGTCCCGGACCCGGTGGCTTCAACACATGCCAGGCGAGTGTGCATGCGTGCCCAAGATCCCAAGAGGAGAATGGAAGAGAAGGGATTGCAGCGTGACCATCCCCCTTGGGGGGTGATTTCTCGCTTTCTGTCTCTCTCTCTGTCTGTCTGGCGCCCTGTATCAAAAAAATAAGAAAGAAAGAAAGAAAGAAAGAAAGAAAGAAAGAAAGAAAGAAAGAAAGAAAGCAAGCAAGCAAGCAAGCAAGCAAGCAAGCTAAGTTTCTTGCCTAAGGGCACAGTCAGGACTTACAAGCTAGTCTGTCTGAGTCTACTGTTTTAAGCACTATTGAATACTGTAATTCTTCCAGACTGAGAAAAATACAATTTTGCATATGCAGTTTTTATAAAGATAAATATTTACTTGAATTTCTCACTTTTATCCAGATGTCTGGCTTCATATAGGCCAAATTGAACTGTGGTATACGAAAAAGTACCTACCCTTTCTCAAGGCACTGCCTCTATATACTTATTTCATTTTTTTTTCAAATGATTTTTTACTTGCATTCTGGTTTAAGAATCAGTGCATGGCAGTTAAGGCACTGGATTCCCACATGACCAAGCATGATCCTGGACCAGGCAGCTTGAAAATCACACCGGGCATGTGTATGTGTGTGTGCCCAAAATCTCAGGAGGAGAATGGAGAAGAAGGGATTGCAGCATGGCCACCCCCCTGAGGGAGGTGATTTCTCACTTTCCCTCTCACTATCTCTCCCTCTTGAGTGCACACACCCTAGAACAAACAAACAAACAAAAAAACCAAACAACCCTAAAAAAAAGTCAAGTCCCTAAGCTTACACAAACCACCATTTGGAGCTTCTGTTATCCTCAGAGAGCATGGCATGTAATCGCCCTTCTTAAGTACTTTGAATTAAGTGATATGCAGAGAACAGCTTGTCTTTAATAGATCTCCTTACCTGATCTCAATGGGGACCTATCTCAGGTATTAAAAAGAAGAAACCCAATTAGCTCTAATTGCTGCTCTCCATGGATGTGTTGCCTTCTCATTGGCAGATGACAGCTGGTGCTGTGGGGGAAGGAATGACTCAGGTTTTTCAGGTGGAAATATCCCTTTCCCCTTCTTTCCTACACTGCCTTTCCTCCATGCATGATACGACCGATATTGCCAAGACCTTTAATTGCAGGCTTTAAAATTATTAGTATTAGCCATTAATGACCTCATCAATAAGTCTCAGTCCTATTTCCGGGAGATCAGACTATTCTATCTTCCTTTGGCTTAGTTTAGTTGAACAAATATTTACTGGGTGCATGTTCTGTGTCTGAGACTGTGTAGATACTCCATCAGTTAGACTGAAGAGTTTTCAGGGTAAATTCACATGAACCATATCCTTTTATTCCCAGAAGAGTGCTATATACACAGAAGGTGTTTATATTTAAATTTATACTTAACATATTTACAAGCTCAATTTTATTTAACAAATATATCAAATATATGTCTAAATGAATCAATCAAAGAATGACTCAAGCTACTTTTCCAATGTCTCAAGGCAGTGCTGGTCCCTGATCCTAAGAAAAAATGCTCAAGATTCCTTACCCCTTACCACAAATTCTACTGTCAAATGTGTCTCAAATAGAAACTTCACACTTCTAGAACTAGAACTATCCCTAAGGCATTATGTAACTCAGCCTTTACTTCAGACAGGTGAATAACCACTGTATAGGAAATGCAACATGAATTCATTATTTAGTGAAGAGGCAGACATGTGCAAACAATTACTGTCCAATGTAATCAATGCTAAATAGAAGTACCTACAAAGCACTTTAGCAGCACAGGAACAAAAGGACCTAAGTTTAAAGGGAGGTGAAGAATCAGGGAGCGTTTCACAGAGTTTGTGACACTTGACATTTGATATTCAAAGCACAAAAAGTTAAGTCAGGAAAAGTGAGGAAGAGATAAAAGGGGCAATAGCATGTGCAAAGTCATAAAGAATGTAGGACTTCATCCCCCTTCTAATTGGAGGCCTTTGTGGCAGAGGTTGATTAAACACCGGAGAGCTATGGAGATACTTCCATATAGGAAGATCACTCTGGTAATAACATATGGAAGATCTTAGGAAGCCATCTTCAGTTCATGTCAGTCCCTTACTAGCCTTTATGACTGCACTACCATGGTTGTCTAGATTTTTCCTGCCTGGGTTTCCCATTTTAGAAATGGGAATATACCAAGTTGTTGAGAATTCTTATGCTCACTTGGTGTTGAGCTGCCCTATCTTGGATGATAGTACAAGCATTATGTCAAACATTCATGCTATACACAAATTTTTGAGCATTTAGAACACTGTGGGAGAAGTAACGAACTAGTAAATGACCAGGTCCTCAACCCTCAGAAAGTTTATAACTTCCCTGTGAGAGAAGAGATGTCTCTCGAGTAATCTAGAGGTGCTTTCATAATGGTATATGAAAATGGGCTGTTTCACATTTCTGCTTTTTGTATAACTTACAGTAATGTGTTAAAGTTTGATGAATTTTCGAGAGGTAATTTATTTACATGATTCCCACCTCACATGGTACACTTCCTCTCCATCTAGTTTCTCTACCAAGAGGCAACCACCATCTCGAAATTCATACATCTATTTCTAGAATAGTGTATGTATCTACAATCGAGTATACATACTTTTTTTAATCACTTTTCAGAAATGGTGCTGGGCTACACATACTACCCTACAATATATTTTTTGCACTTACAATGTAAAATAAAGATCATTCCATATCAGCCTGTGCAGAGCTGACTCATTATTTCTGGCATTTACTTTTGTTTATGGGCATATTGTAATTCTCTGTATAGAGTGCTTTAATTTATTGATCTATTTAGGTTCTATTGTTCTTACAAATAACCCTGAACTTAAAAAATCTAAAACTAATTTTAATCCAAGGAATTTTTTTTTTTTTTTTTTACCAGAGAGCACATGTGCTCACCAAAGACAGACAGAGAAGGAAAATCAGGAATCACCCTCCAGGGGACATGGTCATCCTGCGACTCTCTCCTCCATTCTCCTCTGAGAATTTTGGACATACACTCAGCATGATCATCAAGCACCAGGCCTGGTACTCAAACCATGGTCGATCAGGTGGGAGTCCAGCACTCTAACCACCATGCCACTTATAGGCTCCAGTGTCTAATCCCTTCTCCTTCAGTTCTGATTCCTATCAGGATTTGGGTCACACACACTCATCATGTTTCTCAAGATGCCAGGTGCAGGATTCAACTTCAGGGTCAGCCATGTGGGATCCAGCTGCCTTAACCACCAGGCCACAAGTTGACTCAGATATTTTTATCTCATGCATTGTTAAACAAATTATTTATTTCATTTATTACTATTATTATTATTTAATTTGACCAGAGAGAGAAAGGGAAAGTGAGAAAGCAAGCCACCAGGTCTGGGACTTATACGGTGGTTGGTCTTGTGGGAGTCCAGTGCATTAACTACCATGCCACCTGCCAGCCCCATTTCATGTATGTGTGTCCTTTTTTTTTTTTTTTAGTCAAGACTTTAGGTGGGGAAAGGAGAGAGGTTGGAATTTTAATTGGATTATATCTATTTTTATCTTCTTCTCACATTACATTGAACACATGTTTCCTTAAGAAAAATCATCTATGGTAATGTTTTTAGTGGGTCAGGAAAACTGTTTTGGACACTCCAAGTTTCAGAATTCTGCTCAGTTAGTGGAAAGATTATGAGTTTGGCGCAAAGCAAGCAAGCCTTGGGCTCAAATTCAAATTCTGCTTTCACTATTGTCTAACTGGATGGTCTTGAGAATGTGAATTCATTTTGAGTATTGACTATGATATCTGTAAAATAGGGATAACAACAATAAATACCTCACAATGCTGTGAGCATTTAACACAATAATCCATACAAAAGACTTGGCATAGCATCTGACACCTACGAAATGTTTAACAAACAAAAGCTTAACATGTTTTCAGTTCATTAACATGGGGAAAGTTGATGGAACAAAGGAAAACTCATCAATTTCACAATAACTATTCTGAACAGCATTCTAAAATTTCTGCTTTGTTGAAGTTTTCAGAAAGTGCCAAGAGGCACTAAACATTTTAAACTTTCTTTAACTAGGTCTGAGTTCTTCATTGCACCAGTTTTCTCAGTGCTACTTTCACATCCTTGTTCCTTAGGGTGTAAATGATAGGGTTGAGGGCAGGGGTAAGCACTGTATACAGAAGGGAAAGCAACTTCAACAAACCATCATACTGAGGACCTGATGGAAAGCCATAAACAATACCCAGTGTCCCATAATATAGACTGACCACTGTCAGGTGGGAGGAACAGGTAGAGAAGGCCCGCTGCTTCCCTGTGGCAGAAGGAATCCTCAGAATGGTAGAAATGATGTGATTTTAAGAAGCTAGAGTCAGCAGAAAGGGGCCAAGGGCAAATAAAGAGGTGCAGATAAAAGAGGTCATATCAGCTACTTGAGTCTCAGTGCAGGCCAGTTTCATGATAGGCTTCAAATCACAGAAGAAGTGGTCAATTTCATTGTCAGAACAGAATGTTAAGTGAAAAATGAGGACCACAAGAAGAATGGGTGCCAAAAATCCAGCCACCCAAGAAGCACTGGCTAGCTGTAAGCAGCCACAGTGGTCCATGATGCTGGAATAATGCAGTGGTTTACAGATGGCGATGTGGCGATCATAAGACATTACAGCTAGGAAGAAGCATTCTGTAGCCACCAGGGCAGCAAAAAAATAAAACTGGCAAGCACAGGCTGGGATGGAAATAGGCACATGAGCTGATAGCAAAGTCTTCAGCATCACAGGCTCAATGGTAGTGGTGTAACTGATCTCTAGGAAGGAGAAGTGGCCAAGAAAGAAATACATGGGTGTGTGAAGGGACCGATCAGCTGACACCACAGTTAGGATCACAATGTTACCCATGAGAGTCACCACATAGATGACCAGAAATATCCCAAAAAGAAGAAACTGAAGGCCATGGAGATCTCCAAAACCCAAAAGAATAATTTCTGAAATCCGAGTCATATTTTTCTCTTCAGTACTAGCCATAATTTGGATCTAAAAAAGTAAACAAGAATTTGAAGAATAATCATTGATCAAATACTGTTTTTAGAGAAAAATCAAACTTCTCAGAGGCTTCATACAAGCCAAGCATAATTGGTTTCTCTCTGAAAGCTCAGGATCCTTAAACCTAATTAATAAATGTGACCACAGCCCCCCAGGGGCCATTTGGAAAGTTAATCCCTGATTTCAGTGACTCCATCATATTTAGAATGTTCAGGCTCTTGAAATTGTGATCATGTACATTTTCTCCCAATATTTATTTTGAAAAATAGGGGGAAATGTTCAATTCTTGGTGTTCTTACTCTAATTGTTTCTACTGCTACTAGAGGTATGATAATGAACAGTGAATACTCTCAGTCACCTATGCGTAAATTATACCATCTGTGATCAAATTTTTTCCTGTTTTAGAATTCCATATCAGTTAAAGTATACCTATTGTTATTATGATGCAGGATGTCTGATCCTTAACACTTATTTGATAGCAAATTCTTGAAACATTGGTGGAGGAGGCATGGTGGAGCAAGGGTGAACTACTGATAGTGGAGAAATACTATAGTATCATGGAACAAGATGTTCCTGAATTCTAGTCCCAATGTTGCTGATTACTGGCTGTGTGCTCTGCAGCAAGTCACATCACTTTTCTGACAGTCATTTCCTCATCTATAGAAAAGCATATTCCTTTTGTGCAACAAATTGTACAGAATTATTGGTTTATATTAGACACTTAATTCGTTCATTCATTCATTCAAAAAATATTGAATGTCTTTTATATGTCAGACTCATTGATAGGTACTTAGAACAAAATACTGAAAAAGTGAAAATATAATTATGAAGTCAGGAATACTCCCTTTATTTCATGGAGTTAAATTTCTAAGGGGAGAAAAAGACCAAAAGTAAGAAAAAAGACCCATCAAAGAATTTTGAATAGTTTACTATGAATGTAACAAATAAAAACTCAAATAGGAAATATGCTAGAGGGGTGTGTATGTTTGGGAGAGAGATATTTTGAGATCTGCAAATAAAGTCTAAAAAATTGAGACCTAAAATAAAGGGAATGAGAGATCAATACAAGAGTTGGGAGGGAGGTGGAAGAGCATTCTAGGCAGAAGGAACAGACCATGAGCAATGAGAGCTTGAGTGTTAGAAAAACAAAAATGGGGCCAGACAATGGTACAGTGGTATCATAACTGGACCCACATGGCAGGGCTCTGCATTTACAGCCTAGAGCCTCCCTATGCAGCTGGGTAGTTTAAAGTTTATTTATTTCTTCCATAAAAAAGAAAGATGTGAAAGAAAACCCTCAGGCATACACATGCACACCTGGCAAGAACAAGGAGATGTTGAGATATGAACCCAGAACCTTCTCATGTGGTCTTAGTATTGTGGAGTGTTGAGTTACTGCTGTACCACTGTGGCTGTCCAACCATACCATTCATGTGCTGATGAGAATGACCCAGCATAGAGGGGATATTGATGATGCATAAATAAATGAAGAGCTAATTTAGGGGGTGACATTTTATAGAAAATGAGAGGGGATAGAATACAGAGCACATGTAGAAGGGTTAACCTACGATAAAGGCAAGAACAGTTCATCTCTATGACCTGAGAAAGTCCAGAGAAAATCGGTGCAGTTATAGTCAAGTTGCTTCATTTGATTTTAAGAAGATGACTGAGTTTGCTTTTACTTTCTCAACAGAGTGTGATAAGAGATCATCAGGTAAGAATGAAGGTACGGGAAGAGGATATATGGGAGGTTTGAGAGCAGAAAAATACTGCAAAAAGTCTTATCTGGGAGTGAGAATGCTATCCTATCACAGCAAATGCTATGATTTCCAGGCAGTATTGAGTGGCAAGATGATGGTTGAAATCACGAATATAATAAGATGAAACTAGGTTGTTTTCTTGTGTGATCTTCTTTGGCAATGTTTAGCCACCAGGTGTGCAGATAGTTAGTTTAAATCGAGTTTGAGGTTTGCCAAGTTAAAACAATGGAACAAAAAGGGTGGGGTATATATATATTTTTTAAAAAATCATCATTAATAGCGATAGGATAAATGTTAGATATCTCCACTTCCTTCCACTGATTATCAATGCATGGGTTGTTGAAAACTAAAAGGAGTTTTAAAATATCATTTGAATAAACCTTTAATTTTATAATGAAAAAAGATCTAGATAGGTAAAGCATCTTTCTTAGGATCTCAGAGTCAATAACTTTAATAACAAAGCAGGAACCAATACTCAGGTCTCAGTGTCCAGTTCTTGCTCTTCCCAATATAACATGCTATTATATTTTAAAATCTTTTTTCATTCCCCTTCAGTGCCCTGAACAAAGATCTTAATGTATCATGTTCATGTATAAGCATGTAGAGGAAGACTTATCATCCATTTAGTAACTTATGTGCTTGAAGCATAGTATCTTTCAAAGAACTTTTAGATCCATTATTAATTTTACTCCTTCAACTAGTTTGTGAATTATTTGAGAATAGGTCTCTGATTTGTCTCATTGGATATACAGGTGAGAAAACTAATTACAATGATTACAATATGACATTGTATTTGCATTTCAATTATAACTCTTTCTCCTGGATATGAAAAGTTACTCTTATGTATGTTGATATAAATGTGAATTTACTAGATGCTAATTATATTATGAACTAGGAGTTTTTGTCTAGATAAAAAACTCAGAGTAACTGGATAATAGGAGCCGTATGGATATCGTCATCAGGTGAGCTGAATAATAAATGTAAGAAATTGAGGTAGATTCCCATAATGGAGATGTAACAAAAAACCTGCTTTAGGAAAAAGGGGTTTGGAGGGAAGAATGAAGTAAAGTTTCAGAACTATGGAAGGTATTCAGAAAAAGTAGTACCCTTTTAGAAGAGAAAGAAGGCATTCCAGGCAAAGGGAATAACATGCAAAGAAGTTCTAAATGAGGCTACTGATTTTGGAAAGAGCATTTGAGCAACATGTAAAGGGCTGAGAACAAACAAGGCAGGAGCACATAGTTTTGGAGAAAGACTAGAAAAGAATTTCCAAACAGGGATCAGAAGTGAGAACCAAGGAAAGTGATGTCGCAGAGTCCAAGGAAGAAGTGGAGCTATCAGAGTTGGTGGGAAAGAGGATGGCAGGAAAATTGCAATGCTGACGTGAGACTCCCAGCTGCAGTGAGGTGAAATGGAAAAAATAACAAATGTGGATTATAATTTCAAGAAGATTATTTGTAAAGTAAAGGAGGGAGAGAGACATAAAACTAGGGATAGAAGAGAGGGCAGAGAGAAGGTATTTTTATTCTTGTTTTATGCTTTTTAATAAAGGAGAAGCTTGACCAATATTCTAGGCAGAGTCTAAGTCCAGGCAGAAGAAAATGTGAATGACATACAAGGGGATGATGGATGGAACAGGGAGGGTTTCCAAGGAGGTTGGAGGAGATGGGATGGGGAAATACACATGTGTAGGCATTATCTTCAGTTGGGAAAAAAAAAAGTTCATCTTTTAGAAGAGGGAAAGGGAGTAAAGATGGGTATAGATAATGATTATGAAGATAATTACCTCATCTTTTCCTTCCTTATGAGTTTGGAGACATAAACCATCCCTAGGTGGCTATGGTGAGCTCATGGTAGAGATGTTGACTTTGCTTCCTCCAGAGTCTGTCTTCTTGTTTCATCTGTATATGTGGAGCCCCAAATATTTAGCAGAGACCAAAGTGAATTCTAAGACAGGTAGCTGGTTTGCTGTACCACTACTGTATTGTTTGACCAGGAGTAGATCCTGCAACAGCATGACAGACATCTTATTACATATCCTTTCAAAAGTCGAGCAGGGCCTTAAGAGTCATTAGCTTTCCAATCTTTCCTTTTATACCTTCACAGTTACACTTTTCTCTTTAACTTCCCTGCAGCCCACACGGCTACCAAATGGAAGAACTAAGAGTATGTCACCTAAAGGCACTTTTAGTTTTCAGGTGATTGTGGCCAAAGCATTTTTAGCTCTTGCAGTGACCTCCTTTGGGTTTAGAAAGACCATAATGCCTGCCAAATGTATCTACCTTTTAAACACTGCAACAAACCTTCTGCAAGCAGAGACTGGTGGATATGGTTCAAAGGAGAAAACCAATTATCTTTAAGTTTGACTCCCAGGGGAGCTTTGCTTTATAATTGAGAGATCGATGTTGGATTCTCATGACATCCTGAACTTCCATTCAGTGACTGATGACTAATGGTGTGAAATTGAATATTGGAGCGTCTGACATGTCACACAGGTCAGAGCCACAGTCCATCTAGGTCAGCCTCCAGAGGCTGCTGAGATCACCAAGCAATAGTTCTTCGTTTTTTTGGTTTTTTTTTTTTTTTTTTTTTTGGTTTTTTTTTTTTTTTTTTTTTGGTATTTTTTTTTTTGAAGGTGGGGAGGTGTTACAATGAGAAAAACAACACTAAAATTAATGACAGAAAATTGAGGTTCTAGACCTGGATCACCCACTGCCTGTGCAATCTTGTGTCACTTATCTTCACTTAGCACCAACTGTTCCTTCTTTGTACAGGGGCAATCATCCCTGCCCTGCCAACCTCATAACTTTGTTATGGGACTCAAATGAGGTGCTGTGTGTGAACCCCTTTATTAAATAGAAAGCCGTATGCTCCATGCCAGCATCATATTTTAGGAACATGTAAATAATGTTGCTGATCATAGATGGTAATGATAGTTTTGTCTTAAAGTTCAAAGACTTCCATATTTCTAAAACTGGAAGTAAAAATCTCGCTTTTTTACATCATTAATAATATTCTGATAACATCTAAATCCCCTTTCCCCAAAGCCTTCAATCAACCATAAGTGAATTACACATTCTAATTAAATGTCTTTTGGTTTGGTTTTTATAATCAAATTAAAAGTCATTGTGTACAAGCTTTCAGAGGCAGTTTTTCATATCAGTTACTTTGTCATTTTTCCATTCTTGTAGACAGATT